GAGCTCTGATCCATTAGCAAGAGCTGTGGGTGAGAGCAGCGGGATGAGCTCTGCTGGCAGCTCTCAGCTTTCCTGGGAAGAGGGAAGGGGCTAGATCCAGCTCTGTGGATTGCTCAGGCGGTGATTCCTGTCGGGATGAGAGAGGGTCACAGTGTCACCCTGTCCCTGTCCCCATTCCACAGGATGAACCTGGCTGAAGTCCATGGAGAGTGGGAATTGCTCCAGAATCCCACCTGACCCCACCCCAATCCCGCTACAATCCTGCTCCATCCATCCCACCTGATCCCCCTCCACCCACTCTGCCCCAACCCTGATCCATCCATCCCACCCCATTCCACCCCATCCATCCTGCCCCAGTCCTTCTCTGGAATCCCAACCTTATCCTGCTCCATTCCATCCCACCTGATCCTGCTCTAGAATCCAGCCCCAATCCCACTCTACAATTCCACCCGATCCCACTCAGGACCCTGCCCCAATCCAGAATCCCTCCCTGATCCCAGTCCATCCATTCTGCCCCAATCTGCCTCTGGAATCTCACCCCGATCACACGCTGTACCTGCAATAGAGCCATTCATTCCCATGTATTTTTCTGCAGAAAGAGAAGATCCATGAGATTCCAGCACAGATCACACACAGGGATTAACCCCAGGATCCATCCTGGGATCCGCACAGAGGGGATCCAGAGCTGGATCCACCACTGGAACTCACCGGCTGCTGGGTTTTATCCATTCCTGTCCCTCCTCCCTGTGGAAACAAAGTGGGATCAGCGTTGGTGGCACAGGATTCCCAGAATGGCACCGGGTGGATCCGTGCCCCTTCCCGACCCCCATCCCGTGTGTTACCAGACTGGAGCCTCCAGACAGCGAATCCGATGAGGACGGTGAGGATGAGGATGGCAGCGATGACGGACACAGCGACCACCACGGTGAGATTCCCGCCAGATGTCGGCTCTGGAAACACGGGATAGTGAGGAGGGGGAGAGGAATCCCCATTAGGGAATTCCAAATTCCCAATTCCCACACTCCCAGCCTCACCCCAAGCGAAGATCCCGGGCTCCAGCATTCCAGGATGATCCACCCTGCACCGGTACAGCTCCCGCTCCTCCGGCAGCGCCTCGATCCTGGCCCAGGTGTGGAAGGTGCCGTCGCTGTTGGGAACGATCCCGCCCCACTCCGGCCCCTGATCCAAGGTATCATCCCCCTTCATCCAGCTGACTGCGATGGTGCTGGGGTAGAATCCGTACGCGTGGCAGGACAGGATCAGCGTCCCGTGTTCCTCTTTTCCAGACACATGGACATCAGGGGGCTCTGGAATGGGATAATGGTGGAATTCA